AAAAGTTAACGGAGGTTCACGGAGAGTTACCAAACTTGGATTTGAACTAATTTTAGTGACCATGAATGAAATAAACTAATTTTAGTGACAAACATAAAACTGTTTAGTAATTTTAGTAAACAAACTTGTAATTTACCCACTATTTAAATGTTTTTTTCAAAAAGGCTATTATCACAAAGTTCAAACTTGTATTTTGAAAAGGCAAAATACAGCTATATATCCACAACTATCAGGTTTGTGACAAATATATCCACAACTATCGGAATACACGAAATATCCATTTCCGTCCACTCTGTCAGTTAACTTGATGACTGGACAGACGGTGGATGCTTAGTTGGCGTGCTTTTGACCCCACTAAATGACGTGGATTAAAAGAGGGGGAAAAATTAGGCAAAATACAGGTGTATATCCACAACTATCAGGTTTGTGACAAATATATCCACAACTATCGAAATACACGAAATATCAAAAAATCGGAAGGTTGTGTGAAAAATCTATCAACTTTCGTCTGAAACTATAACGGAGTGTCAGACGACGGTAAATTGACTAACGAAATGCTGAATCGATGCCATCTCACCTGCCACATAAGCCAAAAAGCAACAAAACTTTACACCATTATCTATTAGACCTCGCTGATGCAGTCTTCTCTGTTGGCGATTTGGTTAGATTCAAACTATTTTTGTTTGAGATTCAAACTTGGTATCACCATGGCGCCGACTGCATGGAAGCCGTCGGAGTAAAAGGGAGGCAATGTTTGGGGATTGTGGTTGGAATCAAAATCTGGGCTTGGGGCGGAGGCATCGATCGTAGGAGGATCAGTGGTTATCAGACGTGTTTCTGTGTTGGATTTTTAGTTTCGTCGTCTGTGGTTTTTAGGTTTTTTTTAATTCTTTTTTAATCCACGTCATTCAGTAGGGTCAGAAACACGCCAACTAAGCATCCACCGTTTGTCCAGTCATCAAGTTAACTGACGGAGTGGACGGAAATGGATATTTCGTGTATTTCGATAGTTGTGGATATATTTGTCACAAACCTAATAGTGGTGGATATATTTGTCACAAACCTGATAGTTGTGGATATACAGTTGTATTTGGCCTTTATTAAACTAGCCTATTTGACATCGACGTGTAAAGTTTGGTTGCTTTTTGGCTTATGTGGCAGGTGAGATGGCATTGATTCAGCATTCTGTTAGTCAATTTAACGCCGTCTGACACACCGTTATAGTTTCAGACGGAAGTGGATAGATTTGTCACACAACCTTCTGATTTTTGGATATTTCGTGTATTTCGATAGTTGTGGATATATTTGTCACAAACTTGATAGTTGTGGATATACAAGTGTATTTTGCCTTTTGAAAAAAAAACCTTGCAAAAAAGTCAGTATTTAGTTCAACTTGACATGGGTACTAGGGATGGCAACAAAACCCGAACCCACGAGTATTCACACGACCCAACCCGGTCAACCCTGGTAAAATACGTGTTGACGGGTTTGGGGTCGGGTTTGGGTTTAAACCCGTTCACTATTCACCAGGTTGGGTTGGATTTGGGTTTAGGTAAACTCGACTCATGGGTACCCGCCCGCACCCATATAGTTAATTTTCTCGGTATATTTAATATTCTAAACAACTAATCTTATTTATGTTTGTGGAGGCATGTCTAATATTTTCTTTCAAATTGTGTAGAATGAAGTTGATGTTATCGAGTGGAGAGTGAAGAACTTAATTGAAAGGAAGAAGTTTTCAATTAATCATGTTATTTATGGATAATTTGTGATTTGCTTCAATTTTCTTGAGTTTTCTAGATTGGTGTTGAACAATTTGTATAGTTAATTTGTTATTTGCTTGAATTTTCTAGAATGGTGTTTTATATATGGATAATTTGTATTGAGAGATTGATATTTAACTTTAGTTTTGATGGGAACTTGTTGTTGTAAATTTTTTTACGATAAAAACCCGTGGGTACTCATGAACCCACGGATACCCAACGAGTTGGGTTGGGTTTGAGTTTTTCAAACCCAGTGGATTTTACCCCGAGTTTTTTTCACGGATAAACCCATAGGTTTGGGTTTGGGTTTGGGTTTGGCAGAACCCGACCCAACCCAACTCAACTCAACTCAACTCAACTCAACTCAACTCAACTCATTGCCATCCCTAATGGGTACAAACTAGAACGGTGTCGTTGCACGCTTCGGAGGTATATAAAATGGTGAACCCTAGCTAACAGGTTCTTCTCTTTCAGCTGTTCACTGCGCTCACTTCTTCCCTCGACAACAGCGCAGCAGCCGCCGAAGAACCCTAATCGCCGCCGATCTTAAGCCATGGCCGTCGGGTGATTACCTCTCTCTTCTTCTTCCCTGTATTTTCCATAGCAAGTTTTCTGAAATCCCATAGCGCTCTTTGTTCACTCACATTTTATCTCCTTTCTCCTTTTGTGTTCCCCCTCAGGAAGAACAAGCGGATCTCCAAGGGAAAGAAGGGAGGCAAGAAGAAGGCGTAAGTTGGAATCTCCATTGAACATTCTTCTCAATTTTCCGTCATTTAAGTGGCTCACTTGTCCTTCGATCTCTGAATGTAATTGGTTTGTTTACTTAATTTCAATTCGCTGTTGGAACAGAACCGATCCCTTCGCCAAGAAGGATTGGTACGATATCAAGTCACCATCCATTTTCGAGGTCAGGAACATAGGCAAGACCCTCGTCAGCAGAACCCAGGGAACTAAGGTATGATTTCCAATTGATTGTGATGATGACTCTTAGGTTAGGGAATCAGTTTGATTATGGGGCAGATAGTGAAATAAATGGAGGGAAAGTTTCTTTAGTTCGGGATTGATCTTTCTGCTGACTTTGTTCAAATGCATTGGTGCAAGTTTAGTTAAACTGATATCGGTTTTCTGATAATTTGTCTCTATAGATCATTGTGGTCAAATGTGTGGAAGTTTGAACTGGTCTTTATTCATGCTCTATATCTTTATGCCAATCTCTTTGCGGGAAAGTTGTGAACTTTGGGTTATTAACGCATGGTTGGACTATGTTGAATTAGTATCTTAGTTAAATCACCATTGTTATCTATTCTCATATGATGCTTGATCGATGAGTCTGTGAATGGTTGACAGATTGCCTCCGAAGGCCTGAAGCATAGAGTTTTCGAAGTCTCTCTTGCTGACCTTCAGAAAGATGAGGATAATGCCTACCGAAAGATCCGCCTTAGGGCAGAGGACGTGCAAGGAAAGAATGTCCTCACCAATTTCTGGGTATGTAGTGCTATTTATTTGTATATCTCCTCCAAATATGAAGCCGTACCAAAACTGAAGCTAAAATAACCTGATTGTCTACTCTCTAGGGAATGGACTTCACAACAGACAAGCTCCGCTCCCTTGTCCGCAAGTGGCAGACATTGATCGAAGCCCATGTCGATGTCAAGACAACTGATAACTACACCTTGAGGATGTTCTGCATTGCCTTCACAAAGAGGCGTCCCAATCAGGTGAAGAGGACTTGCTATGCCCAATCGAGTCAGATCCGCCAGGTACACATACTTTTACAATGATGATTTATAAGTTCTCTTGCTTCTCATCAATCCGATGGGCTCATATATAACATTCTCTTTGTACTTTCACAGATTCGCAGGAAGATGAGGGAGATCATGATCAACCAAGCACAGTCCTGTGATTTGAAGGATCTAGTGAAGAAGTTCATCCCCGAAAGCATTGGGAAAGAAATTGAGAAAGCCACCGTTGGAATCTATCCTCTCCAGAATGTTTTCATCCGAAAGGTCAAGATCCTCAAGGCTCCCAAATTTGACATTGGAAAGCTGATGGAGGTAAATGCATCAGGGCCTACCTTGTTATTCAATCCATCTGTATTTTGCTCTTTTGTTAGGTTAATGGTGATTACTCTACTGAAAGCTCTACCCGTGTATTTGATTTTGATTGGTTGAAGGTCCATGGTGATTACTCGACCGAGGATGTTGGTGTGAAGGTGGAGAGGCCTGCTGATGAGCCGATGGCGGAAGCAGCAGCTGAGACAGAAGTTGTTGGAGCTTGATCACAACTCAGAAGACTAGCTATCTGCAGTCCAGATTGTGACAAATCGTTTGAGCTGTCTTTACAGTAGAGTATTGGATCCAAGTTTTGATGGGATTTAGTTATTGTGGGAACGTGTGCTGAACTGTAGAGGTTTATTATCTATCGGGATAGTATGTGAGATCCATCAGCGACTTGCGCTTTTCTCAAGTTTTACATTAAACATAGCCACTTGGTTTTAAGTGATGGTCAAATCTTATCTTATTATCAGTGATAAAACCTTGCAATAGTCTCCCATATATTTCGTTGGAAGTTTAACTGTCGTAGATTCTGTCAGAATCAATTGCATTTTATCACTGAAAGATATGGACAATGACACAGCAGCTCCTGGTCCTTCATTCTTAGTGCAAGAAGAAGCACATAAGCTGGCCATGATACCGTTGCAATCAAGCGGGGAGCATTGAGCTCCTAGTTCAACCGGTGCTTAGTTCTTTGTCTGAATTGGCCGGTTTTTTCACCCGACGTGGAGCGAGGGACATGACGTACCATGTGCTATACGTTCATCTGCAATTTTGAAGCAGTGTCCATGGTGATCGATGATGCCAATTTCCACGGAAGTGTCATCTCTGTCCTCTGCAATGCCTACCCATATACGTACGTAGATGCATGGCTAACTTCTAGTTACCAGAGACCACAAGGGCACAGGCTTGCCAAATGGTAGATTATAAGTTCCCAAACCCAAACTAACTGCCATATCCAGCAATTTAACTTCTCTCACTGTTTTGTCCCTTCTGGATCACAGAGACACAGGTAAGAACCACAATGTCCAGCCAACAAATAACAAATTAATGCTCTGTTTTGGCTCCACCCAAAAACACCAAGCACCTATAAATGTCCCTGCATCCCATCTCCCACAAACACAAGCAACTCACTAACAGAAAGAGAAGGCGGAAAACCAGAAACTCAGGACTGATATCCACCATGGCCGCTTCCGCTGCTCTGTTCTTCCTGGTCCCGACCATAGCATTACTAGCCGCAGCAGCAGCAGCAGCAGGAGTGTCCAATGTGGAAGCAGTGACATACCCAGTCATCAACATGGCCCCGGGGACCAAAGGCGGGATCGTCTTCGACACCCAAATCGGCCTCAACTTCACCACCAACACCATGTCCGCCGCCTCCGACTTCTCCTGGCAGACCTTCCAGCAGAACACGTCGGCCGACCGGCGATCGCTGCCGCAGATCAGCCTGTTCATCGACTCCGACATCCAAGGGATCGCCTACCACGACTACCAGGCCGCCCAAATCTACATCGACGCAGACTACCTCGCCAACTTCACCTCCAACGGCTCGTCGTCGTCGGCCGATGAGCTGCGCAGGGAGTTCGCCGGGCTGGTGTACGGCCAGATGGCGTCCGTGTGGGGTTGGAACGGGAACGGCACGGCGCCGGCGGGGCTGCTGTCCGGGATCGGCGATTACGTGAGAGGCAAGGCAGGGTACGAGCCCAAGAATAACCATACTACTACTAGTTATTATGAGTGGGCGGAGGCAGGGGAAGGGGAGAAGTGGGACCAAGGGGACGACGTCACGGCCAGGTTCTTGGAGTACTGCGATGGTTTGAGGAATGGCAGCTTTGTGGCGGAGATTAATTCCATGATGAAGGACACTTACAGCAGCGGCTTCTTCGTAGAGCTGCTTGGGAAAGATGTGGCCGATGTTTGGAAGGATTACAAGGCCAAGTATGGGAATCTCACGGCTTGATTATTGACGCCATGGCCAGGCCAGAATTTCTTGACGAAAGAATGAATTATTTTCTCTATTTGGGGGGCTCGGTTTTGCGATTGGGTTTTATGGGTGTTCCATGAAAGAAAGATGTTTGTTTGTTTGTTTTTCTTCAAAGATTCTTTACTCACCATTGCTCTATCATTATATGCTTCTGCTGACAAGAAAAATCTTTCTACTGGTTATCTTAGAAACATCTGATTCTTTTGCTGCTCATCGCCTTACAAATCGACGTGGTGGATTCGCTTAACTAGCACAGAAAGAAACACAGATGGTTACATGAGAACTCGATACAACTTACAAAGTCATTGCTTTCAGATTCGCCAACAATGTGCCATCACGAGTGCACGCAAACTGATCCTTCCCAGAGAGCTACATTACATGTTCTTCAACCTCAGCTTCATTCCCTTCAGCTGCCATACTCGAGCAGAAAAGGAACTGCGATACGACATGACAGAAACAATCGGTCTTAAGCAAAACACTGCAGGCAAACAACACATGTTCATCGCTGAAAAACAATGAACATGGGAAATCAAATGAAGTAGAGGATTACCATTGCTGCTGCCGAAGGAATTCCTGCATTCTCTGCACCTGCAGCTAGGAGAGCAGCCAACGCCGCCCTTTAAAAGCACAAACATACAGCAAATCAGTCTCACAACGTGATTCACAGAAAAACACTTCGCATACACAGAAAGGTGAACAAACTTTAAATAACCTCAAAGCATTCACAGTATTTCTTCAAGCAATGTGACTTTCTGCAGTTGCATCCTTTCTTATGCCTAGCTGAAGCTGGGGTAGCTGCATTCATTTCCCCCTGCAATGACGGAGCAAGACACCGATCAGAAATATGCAAGGCTCCAGGATAGTATTCAAAATTATCGAATCTTCTAGCTAGGATCAAAATCTTACCCCAAGCCTGGTCATCACTTTAGGTTCAAAAGCAAGGGGATTTCGGGAAAAGATGAGGTGACGAGTAGCTAGAACAGCGGTTTCATTCGCAGGATTGTTGGAACAACCTTGACATGAACAAGACTCCATGCAGTAGAGACCAGCAGCAAAGCATTCACAGTATCTTGTTGTATATATTAAATCTCAAAGTTAGTAATAACCTTTGAAATCGTGCCACAGCATAATAGCAGAAGAGAGGGAGAATGAAATGAATGTAGGAACTTACAGCTTCAAGCATTTTGATCTCTTACAGTTGCATTTCTTGATGTGTACCACTTTGAGCCTGAATTAGTGACAACCACCAACCAAAATTCAGATTCATTACACGAAAAAAAAGATATCGACATTCAGATTCAAAATGCCGCGAAAATATCATGCCTCTTTCTCTTGGGACTACTGCTGTCACCCCATTCAGGCACTATCGAGCTCTCAGGTACATTTTGCTTACTCTCGACCAAATCTGTTATGCATACAAATGAGAGGAATAAGAAGGGAATCATCAGATTATAACCAGAACTCTATTTAGTGGGAGGGTGGAAGTTAAAAGAGTTTACTAGTGTTCTTTTGGTTGCTTAAACACTGAGCCTTGACCACTTCAGAACTTGTGACAAGAGAACGCAAGTGCAACACATTTCCCTTCCTTGATAAGCAAGTATCCTCTTCCTTTTCATCTAATGAACTACTGCTAGACATTGTGCCATCGACTCGAGATTTCCTTTTCTGGCTACCTGCCATCTCGAAAATCAGGCATCGCCTTCTTGCTTTGTGCTGCTTCTGCTGAAGACCTGTCTTTACAGATGCATCACATACAACCAGCTCTTTAGACCGAGCTCCATGAACATTATCTTCTTTCTGGTTTTCTCCCATTTGATCAAATTCCTGAGGACTCTGCAACACATCCGATACAAAATTGCTTTCTTCCATAGGGTTCAACAACACCTTCTGCTGTTCTTTCAGCTCGGGGTCTTCTTCTTTCTCCAGGATGGACAACGAATCTAAGGTCAACACATCAGCCAATTCAGAAATTACTGAAACCCAATCATGCTCCATTTCATCTTTATTTCCCCGAGAGCGAGTGATTCTTCTTAGATTCCTTTTGCTATCGTATGAAAGCCTTTCGGCCGAAATGCATTCGAGTTTTCCCTCGGGAGGTTCCTGAGCTGCCACATCAGCCTTTACTACTTCATTCTTGGAAGCTAAGCATTCTAATTCTTGGGGGGTTATATCAAATTCTGGCAATTCTCTAAGTTTAGAACTTGATCGTGCTACTACGGAGCCTTGACACCTAAAAACCAAACAGAAACTTACTCACTTAACAGGAGAAAATTTCAATTTGACCTCTTATCATACACCAGCACTAGAGGGTTTTACCTGGCTGAAGAGTTAACAAACTTGAGCTGTTCCGAAGTGGAAATGGGCGAAGGGGTTCTGAAACTCTGCGAATCGAATGCTTGAAGACCAACACCGGTCTTGTTCCTGAACTTGACGAGTTCTAAGGGAGACAGGTTGTTTATGTAATTGAAGAAGGGCGAAGTCTGGCAAATCGGGTCACAAAAATTAGTAAAAGTTGCGAGCAAGTTCATCGCTTCAATTAAAGAGACGGCCACAACGTTTGAACACGACAGGACAAACACAACAACGAATTCACACAAGCCTCAATTGACCAGAAAATTAGCTGACCAACAACGTTGGAAGACAAGAATACTAGAAAACCCCAAAACCCTCAACCCCCCTAAAAAAAGAAACGGTATGGTAGACCCATAATGAAAAACATTTGCAAGAACCACAAATTGAACTCAGAGAACTTGGAAGTAGCAGAAAATAGCATCATAAAACGGGACCTCGAGTTGGGAAACAGAGGAGGAAGAGGCGTCGGGTTGGCGCTTGTTGTCGGGCGTGCTAAGCTCGTCCATCATAGTGGTTTGTTCCCTTCCTCATTCAGCATGTGCGGGTTTCTCTTTTTTTCTCGCTGAATCTTGAACTTTCCCAGTTGCAGCACTGTAATTTGACGGAGGTCGAAGGCACGAAGACAAGGGCTGGCGGTTTGCCTTCTCTTTCGTTCTCTCTCTTGTTCGTCTTTGTCTTTTTGATTTCTCGCTGTCTGAGGAAGGAACACACAAACATTGGTGGAGAGAAAATTGAAAGCGAAAGAAATGGGCGGCAAGGCGGGAATTTTTCTTTGCTTGCCTAAATCTTGGGCCCTAGAATCCATAACCCTGTAAAGGCCCAATTACTCCTTGAGCTGGAGCCGCTGAACCGACCTCATCACTAAAACTTTTTTTTTAATAAGACGGAGAGAGACGGCGCTCCAACCGATTAATTCAAAACAAAGCGAGAGGTCTGGATACCCATTACATTATAGAGCAGCAGGTGATTCAAAGTCGGGGAGGGGCGCCGTAATCGCATGCTCGCCCACGCTATGGGAGTTCCCCAGCGAGGCTAGATAATCTGCTACCACGTTTCCCTCCCTGAACACATGCTTGAGCACCACCTGCCAATCTCTACTCAACAGCTGCTGAATCTGGGAGATCAAAATGTAGTGCGGATGCGTCCCGACGGACTCCCGAATCAGCTCCATAGCAATTCTCGAGTCGGTCTGCACTTCTACTTGCCTTGCGCCCTCTTCCCAAGCTATCCTCAATCCAATTGAGATCCCCATTAGTTCCGCCCTCGTGATGGAACCTCCCCCCAAGTTGGATGTGAATGCTCGGATGAACCGCCCATCCTCTCTACGTAGTACCCCCTCCTGCTGCAGGGCTTCCCTGAGCATACATCACCGACCCATCACAATTTAAACAGAGCCAGTCTCGTGGCGGTGGCATCCAGGCTATCAGCTCCCTTCTTCTCGTCATTTCGTTCGTAGCTATGTCATTCTCCTTTGCCCATGCTAGCTAGATCTGATGGTACCACCAATATGCACGTTTTTGAACTTCTGCATCTGACCCAAGGACCTTATCAAAGACCCATGTATTTCTATTTTTCCAAAGTGACCAGCAAACTACTGCAAATAGTGTGGCATCCACTTTCCGACCTCTCATTGTCAGGTAGTCTAACAACCACCTATTCATGTTCTCCTGAAAGAACATTTCATCATTCTCCCCTTCCAAGAAGCCCGTCCACACCAGCCTCGCGTATGGGCAGTCCCGAGGCACGTGTAGAGTAGATTCTGGGCCTTGTCCGCATATGGGGCAGCTGTCTACATTAGATAAATGGTTGGTTGAATTTCACAATTCACATCACCACATGCCACTATGCATCGCACCAAACCCCACCACAAAGGACTACGCCGGAAACGGATAACCTCCTCCCACCTACTGTTGGGAGGATCATCCTCCTGCGATCAGGATGAAGGTCACGCGCATTCAACGGGGTAAGATGTAAGGATAGCTTTGGTAGTGGATTATGGGGACCACAATTCGTGAGAGCTCTCTGTTTCCGTAAAAAACGACACTATCTTCTGCCCGAGCGGCCATTGCCCGACTTCGGTGTCTCTGTCGAGCCGAGTCGAGAGAACACCTTGGCCTCTCCTCTCTTCCCTTCCAAATTCTCCCCTCCCCGAAAACTGAAATTCCTCCTTTCCAAAATCAAGTTGTCCGCCCATCGCTTCTGACCAAATAATTTGGCTCCCGTGTTTCCAAAATCCAGTGTCCCCATTCGAATTAAACTTTTCGAGCCTTGCCCAAATCATGTGCCCCCTCTGAATTATTATGGGGTTACAATCTCAGTATTCTCTAATGTCGGATGAACCCTAATTTTGGGTTTTCTTCAAAGAGAGACAATGAGAGAAATAAGGGAATAGATAAGGAGAGCTCGTATCCTTTCACCGGAAAGCTCGATCATCTTCTATCTGTGTGTGTAATATAATGAGTGTCATCGAAGTTTATCTCAATCTGTCGCCTCCAATTGCAGACGAGCCTTCTTTAGATGATCTAGTGAGCAAGATGATGCATGTGTGTTTCTCTTTTGTTGATCATAATCAATTTACTGACCATCGCCTTTTTGAACATAGAATGCCAACAATGGGGAATACAATGAAAACATAGAGGATATGGACGAATGAAAGGAGTTGGGTACGTGTTTCTTCCCTAGGCAGTTGGGGTTTATTTTTCTTTGGGTAGAAAATGGGGCGCTAAAAGGGCATCCCTGGCTGGCACTTAGATTAAACGATCTTGGGCAATGCCCATAATATCATACAATAACCAGTAATTTAGACCTGGTTCAGAAACATCAAACTCATGCGTTCATATGCTAAGGGAGTGAGCTTTATTAGCAAGGTAGTCAGTTATCTTGTTGCATTCCCTATAAGTGTGGGAAATACAAACCTTCCATTTTCTCTTCATCAGCTTCTTAAACTGGTGAACGAGGTTAAAGTATCTTGTTTTTCTGGCTCTGTGGACATCAGCAACCGATGGGCAGTCATTGAGGCAAGGTTCAGGGCCACGTTCCTATAAGCTTTCACCCAAGCAAGTTGTAGGTCAATGATTGCCCCTTTAATTTTTGCTCTGGTAATGGTGCACTTCCCCAAGTTGCCAGCAAAAGCTCCAACACATTTGCCCAAGTCGTTCCTGATAACACCACCAGCAGACGCATCAGAACACGACTGTCTAACGGATCCGTCTGTATTTACCTCCTTGTGGCTGCGCATTTTCAGCTTGATTTTCTGCCATGGTGTGTGGCGCTTAGGTTTTCCAACCAGGATATGATACCATAACAACAAATCTAATTTGTGAAATTATAATCTCTTGAGGCTTTTCAATTCATCTTCTACCTTTTATAGGCATATCAAAACAAGCTCCTAAGTGTTTTGTTTGGTGGCTTGGTGAGGAAACAAGTACAGCTTGTGCATAAAGAAAATAACAAAGAACACGAAATGGGAAACGACTGTGTTATGCTTAAATGAACTATCTGTATCTTGAGGTGAAAACGGCAGCGTCGAGTGAAGTGGAGAAAATCACTGGATACGGCGTCAGACTGATCTTCTTCAAGAAGCGGAAGTAGTCATTGGAATTGAAAATGAATTTCAATTGGATTTGCCTGTTAGATTATGTTGCTTTTCAAGGTCTTGGTTCACGACTTCCCGCTTCATTAAATAAGCCATTTGATTTGAATCTTGTTTAAAGCTTGGTGCCTGTCTATTCAATTGACCATGAGGCTCTACCCTTCCTTTCCTTACCGAATTCATTGACGGCGAAAGAGACTTGCGCCAGGAGCGCTGATGTAAGCAGTTATGATCTCAAGCACGATGGATGACATAGAGGGGAGATGGAATGCTTGAAGACCTCTTCGTGTTTGAAGTCGACCAACAAAAACTAGGGCTAGTAACTAATCTTGTGCTTCTCAATTGAACTGTGAATTGAAGACCATAGTTCATCCAGACATAGTTCAATAGACGAAAACCCACTTTCACAAACCTTTGATTGCCACTCTCCCAAATTTTCATCTTAAAAGAGAGCCCTAAACCAATCTCCTTCTTCACTTCCTTCTCTTCAATACAAGCAAAATCAGATCCTCATGTTATACTAATTCCACGAATTTCGAAGTCCTGGAGACAGTAAAAGCACAAGAATTCAAACAATTATTGCAAGACGCTCACCACCCATTTCACCAAATTAATTTTGAGTATAGTTTTTCGGCGGCGATATAGATGTGGTCGGGATAAGATTAGGTAACTAAGGGGGATCACTTAGTCACATGACAATCTCATCTATTCAACCTCATTAAAATCCAATGGTTCCAATTAATCTAATTTAATGAAGGGCATTGTAGTATTGCATGATTATTTAATTTATTAATTAAAATAATTGAAAAAAATAAAGGTTGGCCCCTGCAATCGCCCCTCCCGTTGGCCGATCGCTTTCTGAGGAATTCCCGCGCCGTGGGATTCTTTTCCCAACCCTTTTTCTAGGTAATTTTGTGTGTGTGCGAAAGAGAGTTTCTCAGCAGCAGCGAGGATTCTTCGGCGGCGGTTGCGAAGAGGATTTTCCGCCAATGGGGATTTTCTACAAGGGGTGACAACTTTATGATGTTTGTCGGTCTATTTTGTAATGTTAGTAATGTTTATATGACTAATTAGTATATATAATAATTTGTAATATTTGTTATTCCAAGTTGTATACTTTATGTTATGATTTGTAGATTTTGTATTTGTTGGTTTGTAATACAAGTTTACCGATTTGTATTGTAATTAGTAATATATTGTACGAGTAGTATGGTTTGCAATGTTTTTTTTTATTGTTTTGTATGTTTGTAAGTTTGTCACTTTTGTCTACCATGTTTGTACTATTTAAAAAACAAGCTAGTTGACTTTGGAACAAAACTCCTCTATATAGGGACGGAGACTCCAAAGTCAACTTGGTTGTTTTTTTTCCATTTTGTATGGTTTGTATTGCTTGTAAGTCCTTTTTGTATGGTTTGTATTGTTTGTAAATCTAATTTGTATAGTTTGTATGGTTCTAGTTTGTATTGTTTATATGGTTTGTATAGTTTGTCATTTTTGTCCACCATCTTTGTCATTTTTGTCCACCATCTTTGTATGTCTAAAAACCAACCGGGTTGACTTTGGGACATAACTCCTCTATATAAGGACGAAGCCTCCAAAGTCAACCTGGTTGTTTTTCCATTTTGTATTGTTTGTTAGCCTAGTTTGTCATTTTTGTCTCTCATGTCTGTAATGTTTATATGTCTACAAAAATAACGTGCTTGACATTGGGACGATCTCCTCTATATAGAGACGAAGCCTCCAAAGTCAACCTAGTTGTTTTTTCATTTTGTATTTTTTGTCGGTATAGTTTGTATAGTTCATATGTTTTGTATTGTTTGTGAATCTGTTTGTTTGGTTTGTCATTCTAATTTGTATTGTTTGTATGGTTTGTAAGCCCAGTTTGTATAGTTCGTAATTTTTCATAATACCCAAATTACTCCTATCTTTAATTAAAAACCTCTTCCCAATTTTTAATCGTTAGATTGATGTGTATAAATCTAAGAGCCAGGATGGGTGTAGTTAATTGATAACGACGGATCTAGTGGAGGAGAAGTGCGATTGAAGTGGGCTCACAGTTGGTGAGAGAGCGAGTCTAGTCGCCTGAAAATTAAAATGAGGCCAGACATCTGAGGTCCACGAGCTCCTTTCTTCTTCTTTTTCTTTTACAATCAAATCTGAACTTTTATTTTATGAATGGATCATTGAGTCTTTGTTCAAAGCATGGTCCATGAAATCGTATCGTATCGACGGTTCAACAACAAAATACCAATATTGGAGGCTAAACCGGTAAGCGATATTTAACGGTACTAACGATTGAACTACGGTTAAACCATGGTTTTGTCATAAAATAATCTACGGCTGACTTTTTCCGTATGATGTCATGTACGGTTTCATGGATCATAGTTCAGACGATACAAAATGAAAAATTGAGACCTTAAAGCCCAACACTCTTCTGTGTTTCAATTACATTTTGTGTGGGCCATGCAGCCTGGTTTTGGTTGCACTCCCGTCTGAGGTCTGCAAAAAAACCATTGTACTGGCCCAATTCTCCGGGCTTAACTCTCTATTTTCTTCCGCAGCGGCCCAGCCTCCTTTGTTTTAGTCCAATTCAATTCTGCGTTTTTTCACTTTTTCTTTTTCTTTTCCCCCACTAATTTCAGACTACTTCCCGGCGAAGTAGTGTGGTCCTCGCAATAAAAGACGCTGACGCACAGCTGATCGCCAAACGCCCGAAGGAATCATCGACGTCGCAGTTCATTTCTTCTCTCTCCGGTTTCACTTCTGATTCATTAAGAGATCGCAAGCGCTCCAGTCTCGCCCGACCAACGATTTTCCTGTTTTAGGAAGTGGAATGAATCGTACTTTCACATCAGGTGATCAGCTCTTCGAGCCCGATTTCTTTCTACGATTTTTTTTTTCTTCTTTTGGTTTTCGTATGTTGAATTCCAGATTCTGTTTTTACATTTGGTTAGCAACGGAGGCCACCGCAGAGTCGGCTGTGGCCGTGGACGTGGTGGGATACAGATTTCATCCTCGCGATGATGAACTCGTGAATCACTATTTACGTCGCAAGTTACTCAACCTGAGTACTGGTCGTGTTTCCATACCTGAGATCAAAGTCTATTCTTTTGATCCTTGGGATTTACTCGGTAGGGCATGATCTCCGCTTTGCATTAGTGAGTGATTCCTTTCAAACCGAATGAACATAATAAATGTATAAACCCTTGATTGCAGGTTTGGTGGACAATAAGCTTGACGAGTGGATTTTTTATTGTTATTGTCCGCGTGATTACAAATATGTCAACAGCAAAAGATCCAATAGAACCACAAAAAGTGGTCATTGGAAACCTACAGGCAAGATCCGTGAAGTAAAAATTAAGAGAACCAAGAAAAAAATTGGTATTAAGAAGACTTTGGTTTTCTATAAAAAGGGGAAAGGTTATCCGAGAGGAATCATCACAGAGTATGTAATGCACGAATACGAGTACATAGCGGATCCAAACTCACCACATAAGGTAAATTGACATTTCTTTGGTAGTTTCACAGATCATATCTTAATATCCATGGTTGATGCTGAACTTATCACTTTTGTGGTCATATAAATCCATGAAATGCAGCTGATGGTGTATTGTTGTTTTTCTAATTAAACTTGAGATGGTGTATAGCTGTTTTGTTACTTCCATTTGAACTACGGTTCATGCTCCAAATGATGCATCACTATTGTGGTTATATACATGCATGAAATACAGCTGATGGTGTGTTATTGTTTTGCTAATTAACCTTGAGATGGTGTATGTCATTTGATTCCTCAGTTTGTCATTTGATTCCTCAGTTTGTTATACCATTTGACATGACATGACATTTTACAAATGTACATCTAACACTTAATTGCATTAGTTAAGGTTGGTAATTATGTATCATTTGCAGGAAAATTTCACCCTTTGCAAATTGAAGAGGAAGAGAGATAAAAGAATCAATAAAGATCATGACAAACTAGACAGTATTGTGACTATGGATTCTAGTCTTGATCAATGTCACCCTATTTCTGATGTTGAAAAAACGAGCCCTAGTTACCGGGGGCCTAATGCTTTTGACTGTGAAAATCAAAGACCGCCTTTATTGGGAAGTAATGGGTGTTCGAACCAACAACAGACTACTTGTGATAGTAGTGAGGCAAGCCACCTGGTGGTTTCTGATTTTGGAAATCAAATGTCACCTTTGGAAAAAGGTGATGGTGGTGATACTGTTGAGCAAGGTTCGTGCGAGTACAGTGAAGCCAATTGTATGCGGGTTTCTGATTTCTTAATCCCCATCACACCTCTACAGACAAGTTATCAAGTTGGTTGTGAACATGGTGAGGCAAATTGCCTAATGGCTTCTGATTCAGGCAGTCATGTATCACCACTTAAAGACGACGGATGCTCGACTTTGCTGACACCATCTAGTTTGGAAAGTCATTCAGTTTTCGAGAATGATAAACTGGGTCATTTGATGGATTCTGTTAGTGGAATCAGCCCGTGGCAGACCCCGCAAGCAGAACAACCAACTCCTTTGGAAAGGGAACTTTACAGTTCAAGAGCACCAAGTCCTGAAGTAGAGAACCAGAAGCTTTCTGAGAACCCCTTCCTTACTGCAACTGAGTGGGGTGACTGCTTCCATTCTGCATTTCCAGAGGTAAGAACTGACATATGGTTGTTCTACTTTGTACCCAGTCAATCGAAGTTGAAACTGATAAATGCCTTGATCTTTTATGACTTTGCAGATAAACCCAGAATTGGTTGATCTAATGTTGACCTACCCGCCAGAAAGCATATTCTGACTCGTCCCTTCTGCCAGCCAGTCTGGAACTTGGAGAGTGATATCTCTATGATGGCCGCCATCTATATATATGTTGAGTATTGTTCAAAACAAAGTATATTCTACTACCTATTTCAGGAATCTTGATATGTGCTGATTTCACATAATGTGAACTAGGCTGTTCATTTAGGCACTTTGTATATTCATATTTCTATTTGGTTAAATGTACTAATGATAAATGTGTAAGTAAGCTATGTAATGTACAGCTTTGCTTGTTTGTTACTGAGCAGTTTCCAGGAGCACATATTCTTATGAATCACACTGGTTTGAATCAATGTGATTCAACAACGTGCGAGAGGAGGGAGGCATTCATGTTCTTCTTCTTAAATTCCAGTTTATCAGAGTGAAAAATTACAGCTTGGCTTAGTACTTTGGTCAAAACCTAGAGAGTGCTGACTTCCATTTCAGATACAAATTGCTTATTGATGAACATATTTTGGTTGTTTTATGGTTATACATCTAATTAGTAGTTACCCTCCCCACAATGCCTGCTGCCTGCCTTGCCTAGTCTTCTTCTAATGTGCTGCTATTGAGGCAGAAAAGTACAGACGATGATTAAGGAAGAGGAGCTTATTTTGATAGGGAGAATGGACGGCCACTGGAATCATGAAGTGTACCACGTAACTAATCGGTTTTGCTTAGTGGTTAATCGAAACCAAACCGATTAGCACTCGTATGCACAATATGCGGCCGTGATGAGATAGTAGTACTAGTGAAATTGAAAACCGCATAGTGATAATAGTTGATTTAGTCGGGTTAATATCCTAATATGATCTCAACTTTAAATAAATGGACAACTTCGGCTCCAACTTTTAATGATGATGAAAAGTATCCCAATTTTATAATAACGAACAACTTTGGTCTAGTATTTAAGATTTTAAATTCATGGTTAGTAGTAACAATCTACACTTTATCATATGCAAATCAAATTTGAATTCAAGTCCTCGGTGGAAAAGGGGAAACTGCGGGGACGAATCAACAACTCCAGTTTCCATTAGAGTTTGGTTTACGTGGCGTGGACGTTTCCATTAGTTTAGGCCTATCAAGTAAAGTGCCTGACCTAATCATTTTCCAGGACACTCACTCCCAAGAGGTACTTAGTTAAGTAGAGATTACGTGGAAGTTAGGCAAAATTCCCTCCCAAAACAACCGGCCGAATCGCATCAATCAACGTTAAACTCCCATGTCTTACCATACACACTGAACTGAGGCACAATTAGCATATATGAAGTTGCATCGATGCTGTCAAGATGTGCAAAAGGGATGTACGCACTTGCTCGATTTATGCGTGTCATCCCTTGTACAGAGGTCAAGCTGTACAAACTTGCTCGACCGAGAGGCCAATTTTTTGTAAATCGGGTATCGTCGGAGTTCTTGGGACGGGGCACATCCAATGATGTGCATCTCCCACTGAGATCACAAGGACATGTTGATCCAATGTGCCCACCCTAAACCCATTTTGCATAGTAGCTGATTTGGGCTCATTGTGCCCAGCTAACTGCACAACTAGCAGAAGCAACCCAGATTCTCTCCATTTCCCTATGAAGAGACATCCCACGAGACACACAGTAGAATATGGCAGAAAGAAACAGCAAAGAGACAGAAGCAAGTAAAACCAGTGGTGAAAAAAAACCAAGTCTATACACTTGGGAAGTTGGAACTATTAAGAATGCATAACCGGGGACATGAGACAAGACTCCAGTCGAAGAAAACCAAAGAGCAAGAAACAATGCTACAGAGCTTCCGGATTCTATAGCTACTGGGTTGGTTTCCACAGTGGTTCCATATGCCGCAAACAGTGAAAAAGCTGCAGTCAAACGGAAAAGCAAAGAGGGAGGGGAAATACTTGGTCTTGAAACCTTTGGCCTATTATAGTCCACCTTCCAATTCCTGCAAGATAACAATGCAGCACTTGGCAAAATGATTAGATTTCCCCGTCTTTAACGTCATTGTTTTGCTGATATATACTGAAGAGGCAAAAATGGCAAGCTGGCAACCCATGACAGCAGGGATTAAGACATCAACTCAGTGTTTATGATCATGGAACCTTGTTTTTTTAAGTCCATGGACAGAATCAAACAAAAGGATTAGGTAGAATTTCCATACCACGTTGTGCATACAGTTATCCTTCCATGTACAACTACCATAAACAAGTCCGAAAATCTGTCTCTCACACAATGCTGAAATAGAAACCTGCAATAGTAAAACACTGCACTAAAGCGAAGAACAAATGGAGCTGTTCCACTAGGTGAGATCCCATTTAAGTACAGCAGCAATAGTTAACTGCACAATAATTCACCATGGAGGCTTGTGATCTTGAACACTTCAAAGTGTTTTCCTCAGATGAAACAAGAAACGTACAGCAAGTAAAATATAGAACAAAAAATTTTGTATTTGATCCATTCGACTGCTCAAGTTACTCAGGAAACGAAAAATGGACCGTGTTTGATCAATCGCGAAAACTAAGTGTAAATCAATTACATAATGACTCCAAAATGACCAACTCACTGATATAGACTCTCAAACTATTCACTCTTCCAAGCATACAAAACCAGCTTAAAATCAGGATTTTGATGTGACTTGCAGTCCACAAATCTCTGTGAGAATGACGACCAAGTCAATGAACTCGGATCATCATCGTGCTGCTGCTGGCTTCCTCCACCCCACAGTTTCTCGAGGCACGTCCTGAACATAAACACAGCATTCCCTAGTGAACCACCACCTCCAAACAGCCAATTATGAACATCCCACAGAACCTCAACAGCTAAACCATCGACCAATATTGTGTGGTTGCCACGGAACTTCCACTTCAGCTGCTTCACCTGCAACACCGTCTTGCAGTCCACTCGAACCATGAGGCACGGATCGCTGACCCCAACTGTGTCACATTCGAGGACGAGATCGTGAACCTGGCCGTTGTCACAGAATTGAGCCTTGGTGGTGAACACTTTCTTACCAAAGAGATGTTCCCTCTTGGCTACAAATACAGCAGGGGAAGTAAGAGGCAAAATGGCACTGGCGTTGGTTTTCTTGAAGGCTTCTTTAGTCATGTCCCCGAGAAGGAGAACCATTTGCTTGTCTACTACAACTGCGACGTAGAACCCTAGCTGTGGTTCAGGGTTACCAGATCCGAATTTCGCTGAAGAGAGATCCCAATAGATGTCGATTTTGCAGGAGTAAGCTTCTAGACTCCTCGACCCCTTCTTCTTGGAGAATAACCAGGGTTTAATCTCGACTTTGCAAAGACACTGCTTAGAAGAATCGTCGATTCCGAGGGTTAGTCCTTGACCCATCAAGGTTTTGGTCCAGGAGACAGTGATCAAGCAGGAACGGCCACGGATTCGACATTGGTACAAGCAAGTGACTAGATTCTGAGCAGTTTTAGTGGCGGTTGAAGACGAGGCAGAAGAAGAAGAATCAGCTACCTGAACTCCATTCTCGCCGAAACAAGAGGGGAAATCTCTCATTTTTTCCCCCCACTTCTCACTCACTCTCTCCGGAATTTTGTCGAACAGTTGGAGCGCAATTCCGAGTCCTGCAAAAGAAAAGGACATTCAAACGCGGAACTCATTCTAGAGACTGGAGCTTGACTGGAGAAACACCCCTTACCTCAAAAACCCATCTCAGAAATGGCTCAGAAACTGGAAATCGAGCTCGGGAATCGATCTGGGTATGGAGCGGAATGGAGTGATTTTAATGCATTTCAACAAAGAGCACATGGGGGGTGAAGAAAGGAAGGGAGAAATGGGAAGCAAAGGGAAAGGACAAATCCAAATTCAAGACAAAAACAGAGAATGTAGGGAGCAGAGCAAGTAAAACCCGATGAGAGAAGGAGACAAAAAAAAGGGAGCCCGTTTCATTGTCAATAATACTCAATACCCCATCTCCAAAAACAAAATAATGGAGATTACCCAGAGAAATAAACAAATCAAAATGCAACAATACCAACATACATTATTACAAATTGTTAAATGTATACCTCAAGAAAGTGACAGCCAATTTTACAGAGCCAAAAAAATAAAAGAGAAGGAAGAATTGCAACTTGGAAGAAGAGATTTTTGGAACTGGGTATTATTCTTCTCCCTGGAAAAAACAAAAGCCTGGGTTTTGAAGGTTACCCAACACTGATCACTACAGTAAAAAAAATAAGAAGAAGAAAAGTTCCGGCCTTTCCTCCGTTTATCTCTGAGTTGCTCAAAGGGTCCACTTTCTTCTTCGTTTATTTTACACGACAGATTCGCATGTTAATAAAAAAAAAAAGTAAAAGTGAAAAGAGAAAACAGAGTACAGAGAGGGAAAAACAGGGGAAAGAAAGACAGAGCACCTGTCGTTTAATGGAAGAGTATTTAATGGATGTTCAAAGGTTGTCCCCCCCAGACTTACTCTCTACTCCTTCTGTTAATGTTGATTCCTTTCAGCAGCACAGCCCAAAATATTTTCTTTTCCTGCCCAGAAAAAAACATTGGCAGTAGTTTTACAGATAACGAGGGAGATGATGAAGGAGAGAAGAAGAGCGAGAGAGAGGAAAGATGAGCAGAAGGAAAGGGGAAGAAAAAGGAAACGGTTGGGTGGGGTTAAGGAAGTTATTGCAATGCACGACTTCATTTTTTTCCTTTTATATATTTTTTACTTATTTATGCGTTTTCCCCCCTTAATTGTTTTTATTTTTATTCTGTATTTGGTAATTTTCTTATATTATGTGCACAAAAATATTTTTCATAAATGATGATTATGATGGATGTTGAGTTTGTTAATTGGGGGATGGGGTTGTAAGTAATTAAGGATGAATTGAAAGTTCTTTGCATTTAATGGGTGGATTGCCGTTATTAGTTCGTTTATGTACTTCTTTTCACCGGTTAAATCAATGGTCTAATAAACACTTCTTTTGGCTTGGTATTAGAGAAGAGAAGTGGCCATTTATTTCATGATTTTGAAAAATGAATATAAGTTCATGGATTTATTATGGAATTAGTATATTATGGATTTGGACAAAACTGCTTGATGGATTTTGATGAATTAGATTTGTGAGTATGAAATACAATTATCTTTATTGCTCTTGTTTATAATTATTTGTCTATTATTGTTCTTTTATATACACAAATCGTGCAAGGTTGTTAAACCGGTTTGACGCCGTTACGCCAGTTTAGCAAGTCCAATGCTCCGACCGCGGTACAACGAGTATATGTCGGCTTATTTCAATTTAACAAAATATGTAAGAAAAGTGGGAAGGTATTACAACAAATGAAGTACATATAAACATATATAATCTATCTTAAACCAATCTTTCTACAAATCACATCCATATTTAAATAAAATACGACATTATGAACAAAATAAAAATTATCATATTAAAAATATACTTCACTCAGATAGTAATTAAAATAATAAGTGAGGGTAGATGGTTAAAGTACTATGATGAATTTTAGATCCTCATCCAAATCTCACCTCAAGATATGGAACTTGCAAGTCCGTGGTCCACAGATTTGGATTCACAAAGTCCATGGACCTCACAGATTTGATCCCTCTAATACCATTAAGCAAACAAATGGATTTTGTTCAAAGTCCATGATGGATGGAATTTGTTCACCAAATTCATGATCAAATTAATGAAGCAAACGACCCCTTAAAGCTTTTGGGGACCAATCTGGGGGTGAAATGATGATTAGAGAAGGGTTGATGAGAATTTTATACGGTATTAAGTTGCAGTTCAATATGGTAATCTTTCTACATGAACTAGTCTATGACTATCTAACTGATAGAACAAACTGACAACACACACATAAATGTTGTATCACTGTTACAATCTTTCGTATGAATTTTTAGTTCGACTAGAAATGTTCATCTCATCTATATCTTCCATAAATGTCACTTTACAACATATTTCGTTGTACACTAAGGAAGGGCACAATATTTCTTCAGATTTTTCCGTTACTGATACTCTAAAATTTTCCATATTTTAATTTAACCTATTAATAATGATTAATAAGATCAATTAAGGTGTGAAAATGGTAGATTATGTGAAAATTTGCGTTGTACTTTTGTTTGTGAAGGAATGTTGTAACATCCCTACATTTTTTTATCAAAATATTGTTCGTTTTGACCCTAACTCTGCACTATTTTATTTTTGTGGTGCATCAAGATGACTTCACAGGAGGTAACCTACACTAAGTACGTTTAACTTCAAAGTTCTTACAAGAACTCCTTCATTTCACGTTCAAAACATGTCTTATCAATTAAAACCGGATGCTCCTTATGAATGATGAATCTCTCGTACTTTGTCGATATGAGATTTGTAGAAAATGCTTCTAAAGCAAGGGGAGCGGTTACGGTGAGTACTTTTTTATAGTAATCACCGTGGTTACTAAGGGTAAATTGGGTATGGAAAAATAAATTATATTAATTAATTTTTTAATAAATTACATTTAAGGCAGTTACAAAAATCTATTAATTAAAAATCTCTCTTTCTCTCACTTCCGTAATCTCCAGCCAGATTTCCTTTCCATATTTTTCTCAATCTTTCTGCCAAAAAAAAAAAAGCGAAATCAGTACCAATCCATTAGACAAACACTACCACTTTGAAAAATATCAATACCATTGCAGAAATAAATCTATACCATTACACGAAAACTACCATTGCAGAAATAAATTTATACCATTACACGAAAACTACCATTCAAGAAATAAAAACACTACCATTTCACAAAACATCAATACCATTCAAGAAATAAAAACACTACCATTTCGCAAAACATCAATACCATTGCAGATTTAATCACTACCAATGCGACAAAATCGATACCAATGTAACAAAATCAATACCAATGCGACAAAATCAATACCAATGCGACAAAAACTATACCAATACGACAATAACACTACCACTACGAAAAAAATGACTACTGAAAAAAAAAATGACTACCATTTAAAAAAAAACATACCATTCCAATGGAATTCCTCCTTCCAATTGCAGAGACGATGGTGAGCACGACGAGGAAACTACCGGGATTCTCCTCATCCTCCTCGATCCGAACCGTCTCCTTCTTGACATTGACGTCGTTCCTGATCGTGACGGCGGCGGCAGGCAGGGGAGCGGGGAGCTGAGGTGGCCTGCAGGCAGGGAAGCGGGGAGCAGAGGTGGCCGTCTCCTTCTGGTGCTCGACGTACGACGCGGCCGGCAGGGGAGCGGGGAGCTGAGGTGGCGGCGGCGGCGAGGGGTAAGGGAGGGCGCCATCGGGGGGAGGGTGAGGGGAGGGAGGGACGCCATCGGCGGGAGGGAGGTCCGGTTGGGGTGGTCGGAGGGAGGAGGGAGAAGGGAGAAGACGGCGGCGGTTGTGGGAGAAGGGAGAGACGGCGGCGGTTGTGGGGTTGTATTAGGGTTTGAATATAATATATAGAGTAATTAGGTGTGGTATGTTTTTCATTTCCTAAATTACCCTTATCTAATCTTAATCGTTAATTTAAAAATATAATAAAATAAAGATAATGAATGGTATAGATGTTGGTAGCCACCGTGATTACTCAAAATTGAGTAACCACCCTAACCTATTCCTAAAGCAAGGCGTAGATATGAACTAAGAGTGAGTGTACTCATGGCTGGCATTTCAATGATCCAGACGGGGATTTGTTGGGAATGTTTAGGGGATGAAGAGAGAGTACCTTCCAATTCCAAAAAATGGCAAATATAATTGGGGGGGATTGCCTTTGACAGCCTCAGCATATCTTACTTTAGAAGAAAGATTATATAAAACTTGACTTGTGTAAAATGGGAATTATGTTGTCCCTTACGAATCTTTGTGCTGAGCTGGTATCACCATATTACCATTCCACGATCCCATGGCCTTCCTAGTTCTGCCTAGCCTGGATTTGTTTTCTTTATTTTAATTTTTTACCCGAATTTGGTTCGATTGATCTCGGGGAAGACTGTGGTGTCGTGCCTGCATCCATGCCGGCATAATCTCCACCGTTCGATATTATTGAATTAAATCAGGACCCTTTTTTTCTAATCGCTAATTAACCATGATTGGTTGGACCAATTTCTTAACCGATGGAGGGAAGTTTTTGAGTTCAAATTCAATGATTTACGGTCCAGATTTCTCGTACCTACATTTTTAACCATTCAAAATGAAAGAGTGATCTCTAACCCATTTTTTTACAAGTAACTGATAAAAGTATACCCATAATTAGAAATGTTAATGGAGGTTGGGGTGGGTATTTCGATACCAATACTTGTCATGTGGCATGTCGGGTACATGTTGGATAATTTATTATGGGTGCGGGCCTGGGGTAGCTTTACCCATATAGTTATGTAGTTTAAAAGAAAACATTAGAATTTTTTTCATTGACAAATCGAGAAACAAACTATAATATGATAAAGATAGTTAAATTAGTCGAGAAATTAAAGTTCTCGCCTATTTACTTCGTTATAGCTTAAATATGAGATAATAAAAATAAAATTATATGTAATTTGGATATTTGAAGACGGGGATGTGGATGGTTTAGACAAACCCGCCCCATTGCCATCCATAGTAGAGATTGAGGCAGGTTAGGACAAGTCGGGTCGAGAGGAGTATCCATACCCATCCCGTGTCACCTAGGGGCGAGTAATACCAGTCCCCAAACAGGTTAAACAAGTCAGGGTAAAACGGGTTAGGTCGAAATTGTTATCGCTACCCATAATGTCTCATGGAAATCCTCGCTGCCATCTATACATACATCAATTAATGATATTCAATTTGGGGATAATTTTTTTTATGAAATTAAATTAGTGGTAGAGCTATGTGATTTAAGAGTGACCAAAAACAACTGTAACCCTACCCAACTCATCATATTTACCGCTAAAACTAATGTTTTAGGTTGGTTGTTGGTTTTATTTTGCAAACCCGCTTTTTGGGTTGGGTGCGAGTTTCGGGTTATGCAACCCATAGATACCAACCTGAGTCTATATTACACTTGTTGTTCTAAGTGTTCGTATCTAAAACGCATTTGTCTCCTATACAAGCATGTTTGTGAGAAAGCTAGATTTTATTCATAATTTTCTTTTGTGGTCTAGCTAAACTTATGCATTTTTCAATTTAAAATTTAGGCGTAGATTCAGAAGAATAATATACTATGGATGCATAAAGTTATGGTTCACATTTTTTTTCTTGTGGATAATTTTAGAAGAAGAATATATTGTGGATGCATTCCCTTATACTGCATAAGATGTTTGCTTATTTTATTAAATGTTTATGAAATATAATAAGACATATGTTGAAACAAATTACATTTCATCTATATCCAAACAACACCTTCTATGTATTTTGATACCCTCCACTTCAATTAATTTGATTGAAATTTAATTAGTTATCAATTACTTTATTTTTATTGTACAGAATAGTTGCATTTTTAGTGTTTACTTGAGTTTTTACTTATAATTATTGCCCACCTGACCCAATCCAACCATAAACAAACAGTGAAATTTTAATTTTTTTGTGTGGGTTTAGATGTGGTGTTTTCAAAATTGAAGTGTGTGAATCTGGTTATTAAAATGACTAAACCTGAATCACTAGATCCATGTATATCCCTAATGCGATGTGAAGGAGAGAGTGGGGGAGTATTTAATGGAATTGTTTTTGATTTATATATAATGAAATAAAAAAATTTGATATATTTTAAATTATATCCAAATTATTTATTTTTTAAATTTCTTGAGCTGATATTGCATCCACATCAGCGATGTGCACTCAATATTGAACCTTCAAGGTAACAGACAATCAAAACTCTAATAAAATTAAGATAATTTTTTTTTTTTTGAAAATTTGAACATCTTTTAAGAATTTCAAAAAATTTGGATCAATATGATCGATTAGTGTAAAATTTGGCCAAACTCAGTTTTTTTTATTATCTAGCAACTTCAGCTTCACGTGCCACTTTGTAAGAGCAGGGTCTAATAAATTTGGGGCCCACCTGCAATCAATTTGACGTCAACAGGGCTTCGCTCTCTCATACCTCTGGAAAAACCAACGAATTTCGCTAGGATCGAATATAGAATCTGCAACTTCCAATCATTCACTATCACGACAACTTACTGTTAGATTATCTTTATCTTTGATGGCCAAACCCGGCTATACACCCTAATAATTTCTACTTGTGAAGGTGCTTAAAGCTAAATCGAGATTTACCAATTTTTATTAAATCCTCTTGTTTGTCCAAATTATAAGAATTTATTAATTGATTAATAAGTGTATGATGGAGAAGAAAGACGTGGGGTTCACGTGGATGTGCTCATGTGGTCTGGTCTCGGTTGGTTACGTGCGTTTCACTTCAACCTCCCCCCAAGTCGGGCCCATTCTTCCTACAAATCCACTCTGTCATTTGGGCCGTCGCATTACTTTTCCCTTCTATTCACTGAAAGCCCATTCCACTAATCCCATTAATTATTAAATCAAATCCTCTAAACCACCCACCAAATATCACCAACCTCCTGCAATACATCCATGCATGGCGTACTAGATCCAGGACTATGTGTGTCACCTAGTGGTAATAAGGGGACATAACATGATGAACACCTTTTAATAAAAAAAAAATTAAGTATCACGGTTGTTGGCAAAGCAATTCGATCATATACTTCGGTCGAAATAAGGGATTTTATAATATTGTATAGTATTGAGACTAAGTAGTTTTCTACCCAACATATGGGAGAATTTAGCAGATTCTTCAATCTAAATTGTTGCTTCTAATAGGGGCGGGTGTGCGGGTGGTTGATCCGCGATTTGATATCGATCCACCCGTAAATAATCCGAATCGTAGTGGTAGGTGATTGATGTGGGTGGATTGTGGATTGACAAATCTCCTACATGCACCTATGCGGATGAGTGGTGGATGGATTGCGGGTCACCCAAATGACCCGCACCCTATTCTCACATTACAAATTGTTGTTTCTTGTTTATATTGTCGAATAGTCATCAAATTTTCTAACCACACTACATACTGATGATATACCTAAACACGGAGAATGGATAATATTTTGTATTACTATCCGTTACTATATTGTGTATTGCTTCTCAGCTGAAGGGTAGGTGCTTTTGGACCTACACCTGCACATCAGGGTCTGGAACTGGTGCAAAATTCTTAAGCTGAGAAGCAAGGTATCTTCTTTCATCTCGACCAGGGATGATGTTCTGCTCCTTGATGATCTTCCTATGCCTCGATTTTCTATTAAAAGAGTGTGGCAGATTATTCGACCTACTCAGCAGAAGGTGGACTGGTGGAAAATTCTCTGGAAAGGTAAGGCTATACCGAGCAACCGTTTGATGGATGATGTTGAAGTATAGCCAACAAATGGACAGAATGCAGAAATGAGGGTATTTGGGATCGCTGGCTTGTGCTTTCTGTGGGGGAGGGACTGAGAACAGACAACCTCTGTCCTTTCACCAGGCAACTCCTTGATGAGCTGTTTAGTGGCTCTATGCAGGTCCCTTTAATCCAAACTTGGGAGGAAATGGTTTCATGGATGATGTTGAAGTATAGCCAGCAAACGGAAGTTGCTGAAATGGGAAGGCTCATCTGGCAATCGTGGGTAAGTCAGGTTTGGAGAGAACGCTGTCGTCGACTGTATCAGTATGGAGTTAATGCTAAAGGTTTTCAGGAGGTGTTGCTTGTCATCAAATCCGAGGTTGTGTGTGTTTTAGGCTGTGAAAGGGTGAGACTCTTTTGGAATGTTTAAATTGTGATCTGTCTCAGAGGAAGGTTTGCATTAACTGTTTTCACATATTTGGTTTGATTCCCTAGCTAGCAAGGGTGTTGCTAGCAACCACTTTTTGATGAATAAAGATCCCAACGATTCATAAAAAAAAGAAAGTAGCAATAATCGTCAATTTTCTTTACATAATTCATTGATGAAGTAATGAATGATTTTATGGAAATACTACAAGGATCTACTAGAGACAAAGTGGGAGGTGTCTAAATTTACACGGTGTTAATAACTTTCAAGGAACTTGTTATAAATGTAGCCAACTTGTTTAATGACTAGTTGGAGAATTGATTTTGCGGGTTAACCCACGATTCAACCGAACCCATCCGCCATACACTCGACCCAACCCAAAGAAAAATGTGGGTGGATAGCGGTTCACAATCACATCAATTCGCGAGTAAACGGGTGGGTCAATTTGAGACCAAAATCCATCCAACCCGTCCATTG